TTATGAGTAAAATATATTTCCTTGATGAAATAACAACAAAACGTATCATTTCCATTAAGTTTATTCAAAACGAAATAAGTAATGGAATTTGTACGTTTTAGCGCAATTCACTTTAGAAAATTACGTTTTATTCTGTCTTGATTAAAATTAAAATTTTCTTATTTGAGTTTAGATTTTTTATACATTTTTAAAATATTTAAATATTTTCTATGTCTGTCCAAAAAACCACAATTGAAAATCTCTCTTTCAAAAAAGATGAGAAATAGTACGTTTTAGATGTTGCCCTAGTTACTACTAGTCTTTTGTGTTATTACTTAATAAATATTTTTCTTATAAGATGCTTATTATTATTAATCACAAATTTATTGTTTCTATAATGTGTTAGAGAAGAGTGAAATAAACATTACAATATTAAACAATATTTCGATTTTTCAAACACTACAACAAATTAATAAGTTGAAACAACAGTAAGTTGTTAATTCAACAGTACTATTATACAAGACTTAGTAAATATTTTGTTATGTAAATAGTAAATTTATCACCTTAATTACGTGTTCTTATGTACGATCGTTTTTACAGTTGAAATAGTCATTACATATTTTTTTTTACTAGTAACATCTATTTTTATTATTTGTGTAGTTATAATTACTGTATAAAACAAAATTACATTTTTAATATTATTTTTTAAAATTAAAGAACAAAATTAATTTAATTTGAATATTAAAATTAAATTGAAATACAACAGTAGAAAAGTAAGTGTTAAAATTTACGTGTTTATACTTAGAAATAATTTTATTAATTAAATATGAATTTTTAATATTACTTTTAAAATAATAAGCATAGCCCATTCCTGTCACTGTCACCTTAAAATTATGAGAATTACATGCAAATTATAAAGAAATATTTTTAGGAAGAAATATATAAAGTTAGATCACTTTACAAATTGTTCCAATGTAAATAAAATTTTAAAAACCAAAATTCTTAAAATTATGAAATATTTTGGTTAAATCTAACAGTTAGCTTGATAATGGGAAAATCTAACACCTATAAATCTTTATCGTTAATTTAATACAATACGACATATAAACTAATACAAAACCGATTGTTAATGTTATCTAATATGTCAATTGTAAAAGTTATGGTACTTCATTATTGTTGTTAGGAAAAACCAATATATTTTTTTAGTGATAGATGTCAAATGATATTGAATCGAATAGTATCAACGATAGTATTATAGTTTATCATAATCATTGTAGCACTAATGCTATATTAAATAAATAATACATAAATGTATAATTAAATATAAGAAAAATAATACTATTTTTTTTATGTAATTTTAATTTTGATTATAAGAAGATAAAAACAAATTATACAAACCCAACCGTCGTTTAATAATATTTTCTAGAACAACATATATTATAGCTTAACTTTTATTTTTAAAAATAGGTATAAGTTTTTAATGTTAATGAATAATTTTTTATACATCAGTAAAATTGTATAAAAAAATTTTTTTTTAATTTTAAGCTTATTTGAGACCTACTAAAAATATAACATATAATGACGTGAATTATCATAGTATGATAAAAATTTTTCCTAAAAAGAATTAAAAGGACTTTTAAAAAGATTTTTTTATTATATCCCGGAATATTTATAAATAACTAAGTTGTTTTGATAATAAATAGTTTTGGCCGTATAGTAACAATAAAATTGTTTGCTCAACCATTATATTTTTGATTTTACCAAAGTTTTTATTTCAGTGTAGTTAAATTAAAATACAGTAAAACATATAACAACTATGATACAGTATTATCTCGTAACCATAGTTAAATAATGTCAGAATGTAAAAATTAAATGGGTTATTAAATTTGAAAAATTATTTTTTGCATTTTTCTTATTTGAGATGAATAATATAAATAATTCTTTTAAATAAGTACACAACTTTAAAAATTATTTGAAAAAAAAAAAAGTAATACAATATACTTAGTAAATAAAAATTTATAGAATTTGTCAGAAAAGGCTAGTACACAATATAAAAATATAAGCTTCAAATCGAAATGATTTCTTTCAACGATACGTCAAAAGATTACATATCGTATACAGTTTGCCCTTAAAAATTGAAAACATTTCCCCTATTCCTTGTAAATGAAGCAAATTCCCCAAATAAATTATCAGGGCTTGAAATTAATTCTTATTAATTGATTTAAAATATCTATATAATCCAATATAAAATTTGAATAAAAAAACCAAATATAATGAGTTTAAGGCATAGTTGAGTCAATTATAAATGAAAATTTGTTAAACTTCATTATTTGTATATTTGATATTTTAATGTTTCTATATATTTTTATTTTATTTTTTGTTGTTTTATCTGAATATTTACATGACCATGGATACCTGAACCAAACATATTACTGTGCCCTGTAAACAAATCTGTTTATTTAATTTAATGTTATGAACTATAAGTTAACAAAAAAATTTGTCTGGAAACTTTATCTACTATGTGTAAATGGCTACTAATATATATAAAAAAATAATGTACAGTCACACTAAAAAATTTAAGATGTATAAGTAATATATAGATTATAAATTTAGTAGTTGTTGTGGTGGTTACCGTTGAGAATGCGTTATTTTTTTTCTAATTTGTTAATTAATGATGTGTATTAAATAGTGTTCTTTCATTTTTACGCTAATCAGATTTAATTTGTTACAAATAATGAAGTAATATAATATTTAATTTAAATTATTTCTAATTCAAGACTGAAATATACAGTGTTCAGTATATAAGGAAACCGAACAATTGTTACAAACAATGAGAACAATAGAAACCCATTTCCTTACTTACTGACACTATATATATTTAAAAAATTAACATTGTGGTAATAAAAAAACCTTATTGTAATTGTTTACATGTATATTTAACTATATAAAATAAAAAAAGATCTATTTCAGAAAACTGCTATTAACCTATTATATCAAAAGTTATAACTATTTTAAAATATAGATAGGAGAAGAAGTTTGTGTTATGTTATTTTTATCATTCTGAAGCATTATTTGAAAAGTTATTTAAGAACAGTAATTTTCTTAATTAAATTATTGTTTATTTAAAGTAGCTAATTAAAATTATAATATAAAATATTAAACATAATTTTCATGTTAACTGATTACCATTATCTACAGTTTTACATCGACGCACTTTTTATAATAGTAATAATAATCATTGTCAGATATCATCTATACTATGTATTTTATAAATTAAACAATTTTCTATTTTATAAGCTATTAAAATATGTACACCATTTTAAAATATAATGTTAGCATCCCAATAAGTTGTGAGAGATGATTCAGAAAGGCATTTTTTTTTTGTGGTTCAAACCCAACCTCAAGATTAGTTTGACACTAGTTAATAGATTTTATATTACTTAATAAAAAAATATTTAATATGTTTGGTACGTCGATTAAAAAAACTTGTAAATATTTTTGGTTTAAATATGTTTTGACATCAATTTAATATGGAAAATAAATGTTGTCAACACAATAGTTGTCATGGAAAAAATTAACACATAATATAAAATATACAATTAAACAAAAAAATACATTTTCACATCTTAAATATTATAGGAAAATATATTAAAATTTTCCAATAAGACCATGTTTAAATATGATTAAAAAAATATATAATCAATAATATTAACCACAATTCATTGAACGAAATTTGTTTAAAATGTTAATTTCCTTGTAATACACTTTTTTATGGCAAAATCTATAAATTAAATTATCATGTATCTTAAAGGTTTTTCAGTATTTAAAATCATGTATTTGTTTTCATTGTGTAAATTTTTACATCACATTAGTATTACCTTTCTGTTTATGTTTTAAAACCATTAAACATTTTTTATTCTAAGAATAATTTATTATAAAATTTTAAAAACAGATTTATCAGCACGAAAAATAAAATATTAGTTTTCATCAAAGTATTATATTACGTAATAATCTCAGCATATGAATTAATTTGTTTAATATTAAGGAATAATGAAATATTATAATTTTAAAATTTNCTCAGGATATGAATTAATTTGTTTAATATTAAGGAATAATGAAATATTATAATTTTAAAATTTGTACAAAACGCATTTATATTTTCATTTTTTAATTAAAATGATTTTTAAGGAGTGTTTATTCAATTTGTATTATTTTCTATCCAACATAGTTTGTTTTGTTAACTAAACTTAAATCGTTATATAAAGTTAAAAATTAATATTAATACATTTTCAATGATTTAAAACATTTAATAGGGTTTTTTAATGTTATAATAATGTTTTTATGAAATTATTTTTTAGAATAGCTATCTGTAATATTGTTTAATAAAATATATTGCAAAAAAATTGTTTAAATTATTTGTATACAACATTGAAAGTAGTGTGTATATTTATATTAATTTTTTTTTAGAAAAACGCTTATGATCATATTGAATAATTTACCTAATCACACTGTTTAACCCAGATATATTTTTATTATAATAGTTAAAATAAGTGCGATTTTTTTTTTTTTATATAAAATTGAGTGTAAAAAAGTACTGTACATTTTAACTTAACTTTTTTTAAAAACTAAATAGGTAGTATTATTTTTATGCGTGATTAAATTAAAAAAATAAAGTCAAAAATCATAATGAAAAAGAAAAATTAACATCATTTGTATAATGTGCTACTAGTTGGTTATATTTAATAAATTACATGTTTTAACATTATTTATATATATTTAATTTTTTTTTGAAACATTTTATTAATATACTTAGTCTGTCAATACTAATTTATTCTATTATACAGTAAGACACAGTAGCTACCTCAATTACTACTAATTAAAATACCTACTTTTATTATAACGCATGGCAATCCCCTCCAACACAAAACCGAACAACACCGATCGGCGACCATTATAGCCGGACCTTGACGAACAATAAAAAAAAAGACTAGTGAATTAAATCCATTTGCTGCATTTTGGTCAGGTGAAGTGTTAGTGATCCGTCGCCATGTACTTAGGTGTCATGTATGTGGTCATCTGAGTGCGTACGTTATCGCAGCGTCAATTAAACATCTCAGTATTCAGTGCCTCCGCTGTGCATTCAATAGTTAATAATATTAAATCAAACATTTTGTCTACAATAAGTAAGAGATAAAAAAAAATCAATTAGTATGTTGGAAAACATCGAAAGTGTACTAATAGCTTTAGGTATTGCAAAAAAAAATTAAATCAACCCGTCTTATCATCTGTAGCTACGCTCATTTTTGCCGGTATGCTTGCATGGAAATTATACTTCTTTTAACAGTTAATTTTTTTCTAGTACTTATATATGTTTAAACTTTTAGTATTTTTGTAATTAGTTCATAAACCCAAATTTACTGTCAATGATGAAATATTTTGTTTATTGAACAAGCAACCGTAACTATTGTCTATTGTTTCTTTTGTTTCAAGATGCTTTTGAAAATGAACACGATATACGCCATATTACCTTTAGCATTTGCGACGGCTGTAACAGCCCTGACAAAACATCCTTTAGTTATGATCGTATCTTTTGATGCTTTTCGACCTGATTATATAAATCCTAAAACGACGCCACATTTAGCCATGTTCAAAAAATCTGGAGTTTCGGTTCCATACATGAAAAGCGTATTCCCAACCAAAACGTTTGTCAATCATTTCAGCATAGCTACAGGTTTATATGCCGAAACTCATGGAATATTGGACAATTATATGTTTGACAGCAAATTTAAATACATGCACTGCTCAGAAGAACAGTTTCACTACAACAATCGGGTCGTCCCCTTATGGGTAAGATATGAAATATTTGATATGCAACTATGAATTTGATCAAACAGTATCTTAATTAATTATTCAACCCAAATGTTTTAAGTTGCTAATTTGGTAATATAAACACAAAAGGCATTTCATTCATTTAAATGAAAATTTTAATAAGAGTTCTTATTAAATATTACAAAGAGTTATTTCCTTTCAATAAATACAACTTATTTAGTGTTGTTAATAAATTATTGAAGATAAAATTTTACTAGTAATTAAAGCTACTTTGTCTTAAAATATATTTATATTACATACCCAATAATGAGATTAATGTGAACTTATGAATGATCAAGTATAACCGTATTTAATACACCTATGATTTATTCATTTTATTAAAAACATATATTCGAACAAATTATAAATTATTACAATTTAGGGTGTTTTTAGAATTTTATTTATTTTGTAGGGTTGCGGATGTATATAAGATATGAACTCAACCTCATCTATATTTATAAAGTTAATTAAAATAACCATATTAATAAATATTATAAAAACCCAGTACAGGGAGGTCGCGGCACAGTGGTGACGTGGCATAGTTGGATCAAGTATAATGATATCTGACAGCGATTAAACTCACTATAAAAAAAAACGCTTCGATGCAAATCTTTAGATTGTGTTTAATTTTAAAAAATTGGTGGATAATTCCAAAGCTACATGATCTGATATTTTCTTATTAATATCCTGAATGAAAAAGGGATTATTAAAAAATATTATTTTTCATAAAAAAATTGTGTTGATCAATACACTTTTCAATAAGTTATAGCATTATAAAGTTAAAAATGTAAAATATAAAATTGAGAATTTTCACACAAAAATAGCATTCGGTAGCCATTTTCACCGCCAAGACAAAATAAAGTCCAAAAATTTTTTTTTCATAATATTGTACATTACTTTAACTTTAATTAAAGATATATATAAAAGTGCCAGACTTTCCGGAACACTTTCAAAATTTAAGTTGAAAATTAAATTTTTTGTGAAAAAGTTGTCATTTTATATCCCTCCCTGTGGGCAGATAAAGGATCAAATTTATAAAAAAAATATACCAAATGATAGGTAAAGACATCAAACATCTATAAAAAAAATTATATTGATTTGTTCAATTTTAAAAAAAATTATGGCAGTTTTTACTAAAAAATATTGAAAAAATTTCAAAAATTAGCGATTTTCAAATTTGTAATTTTTTTGGAAGTTTCCCCAATTTTTTCGGGGAACGAGGAAAATTTTTTCAATTTTTGTGGGTAATATCTTTGACTAGATATGATTTGTGATCTTTGACGTATCGTTGAAAGAAATCCGTTTGGTGAGACCTGAGAAAAAGTGGTAAAAAAACAGTAACGGACTCATCATAATACAACCAATACCTTCTCAGCTTCGCATAGAAGCTAAAATTATATTACTGAAATTATTAATAACAGTATTTTTTTTTTTATAATTAAAAAAAAAATAAATTTCTACTTGTCAATCTCTTAGAAAAATGTGTCAAAATTTTACAATTGCAATTAAAATTTGAATAATCTTAACTATTCATGCACAAATATTTAATAGACCGGAAAATCGGAATTTTTAATATTAAAACAAAAATATTATTGATTAACATACAGGATAAGGAAAGTTCAGGCAAAGCGTACATCCAGGGCAATATCATTACCTATAATCATAATATCTCAAACTCAAAATATCAAACAATTTAATGTGTAATAAGTGGAGTCGTTGAGTGCGTGCTGTTAATGTTATCAATAGATTTGAACGACCCAACAAATTTTTTAAGAAAAGCTCTAAAATAGTTTTTCTTGACACTTTTTTAAATAGCAGTATGCTTAAAAAAGAGTTTTATCATTAAAAATAAATTGAAAATCAAAATTCGTTAGTAATATTTACAGTATTTGCAAATATTTGTCCGTTTTATTGTATAATAGTATATATTTGTTATATAATATTATATAGGGATATCACTACATGTGATATGGTGTATATCTATATAAAAATTTGCTTGTGGCAGCACAATTACTTCACTTGACCCCTTTTACAAAAAAAAATTATGTTAGCCATCATAAATATAACCCGTTGATTCAATTTAAATAATACTCCGAGACCTAATAATTCACAAATTTAGTTATTTTCTATAGAATAATATAGACCTTTATATAAACATATTTGTACAGCGATTTTCTAAAGTTGTATGTGTATTTAAAGTATTAAAGTATTTAGAGTGTCTACTATAATATATAAAATCATTTAATCAGATTAAATACCCAACCTACTAGCTATAACTGTATAATATATACTTAATTAAAGTTCTCAATAAAATCAAAGGCTCGAACCATTTGAAAAATAACCTCGAAGAACCGGTTCAAAATCGTTACTGATTAAGAAAATTAAAAGACTGAAAATTTAACTGGAATCTCAAATTATTTGTTTTAAAGAACTTGTAAAGAAACGGAATCTAACCAAGATCCGCTTCAATAAAGGTTCATAATTATAAACTATATTATAATGTAAGCCTATATGACTGGCGCATTAACGTATTGAAATATTAATTATGTTATTATCACGATAATATTTGGCGGTAGAATTCATAATAGCGTACGATTATTGAATTGAATCAGCTGATTTGTGGTGTAATCAGATGTTATATAATATTATAATTATTATATCATATTCATTAAGTAAGGGAATAGTGATATATCAAAAAAATATTCCCCGGAAAATTTTCTCGGTAACGGAAAAATTCGTCTGCAAATTTAAAAAAGGTCTCTAAAAAACATACGACTCAAAATATGATTCTATGGCTTTTTAATGTTGTGCATTTTTATGGTTTCTTAATGTTTAATTTTTTATTCAAATACTAAAAACACTAACCCTCCAATAGACAATGATTAGGTGTATATACAATAGAAAAATTTCCAGTAAAAATAAATTCTATATAATTACCTTTTTAATTTAGCTCAATTTTACGGTCATGCATAAAATTAATTACTTCTAAATAAAACTCTAAATAACTCTATGAACATAGTAACGAAGAAAAGTCTCATAAAACATACGTCAGGAGTATGTCGTTATATGGATGGGAGATGTGGTGTTGGAGAAAGATGCAAAAAATAAACTGGACTGAAGACAATTGATAAAAAACAAACATTGATACACACTATAAAAAGAAAGAGATGGCAGATGATAGGACACACGTTGAGACATGTGGATGAATTTTATAGTTTAATAGTTAAGGAATGATAGATAGAACAAGATCAAAAGAAAGACATAGGACGAAATACATTTGTCAAGTAATGCAAGATTCGGGAGTCACTTCATACAGGGAGCTCAAGAATATAGCCAATGTTAGAGGAAAAAGAAGAAAGTATTCATAGTAAAATTTTGTTAAAAACCAATCTTCGGATTGATAAAAAAAAACAAAATAACTCTAAAGCTTTTATGAATTTGAAACATAAAATTAAGTATTTGGTTAATTCTATTGAAATTGACAATATCTCTAGCTACATTGTACCAAATTATCATCCGAAGTTAAATAGATAAATATGTAAATGACCAATTTTTTACTTGATGGCCAATTTTTAGTCTCGATGCGAAGCTGAGAAGGTATTAGTTTTACCATGATGTGTTTATTTTTATTTTATTTTTTTGTGTCTATCTTTAATTTTTCTCAACAATACGTCAAAAGATCATAATTCGTATCTAGGTGAAGATATTACCCTCAAAAAATGAAAATTTTGACCTCATTCCTCGTAAATAATGGAAATTCTTTAAAAAATTACGATTTTAAAAATCGATAAATTTTGACATTTTTTAAACTTTTTTTTCTAAAAATTGCCATAACTTATTGAAAAATGAACAAATCAAAACAATTATTTTTTATATTGAAACCATAGATATTTTACTTTAATTTGATATAATTTTTTTAAAAATTTGTCCTTTTATCTGCCCACAGGGGGATTCAAAATAGCAACTTCTGCGCAAAAATTTTAATTTTTCAACTTAAGTTTTGAAAATGTTCTGGGAATACTCCGAGCTTCAAACTTATGCTAAAATAAAGCTAATGTTATGTACTAAAAGTTCAAAAAAAAAAAATTTGTCCTCATGACTTTTCTTCTATGTAAAAATGATGGCCATATATAAAGAACATGCAACTTTGGTATTAAAATTTCATATTTTATTTGCCTGTGGCAATGATTTTTTTTTTCAATTTTTCCTTAATTTCTTTTTTTAAGTTAAAATTTTGCTTTTGAATAATCCACCAATTTTTTAAAATTAAACACTATCTACAGATTTGCATTGATACAGATTTGAAGCGTTTCTTATAATAGTGATTTTAATCACTGTCAAATATCATCTATACAGGGTGATCCATTTAACATTGACCAGCAAATATCTCAAAAACTATTTATTATTTTAATAATTTTTTTTTTAGTTTATTTTTTTAGTTTTTTAGTTTTTTTAGTTTATTTTTTTTAGTTTTATGAAACTAAAATAATTTTAAAAAAAAATTATTAAAATAATAAATAGTTTTTGAGATATTTGCTGGTCAATGTTAAATGGATCACCCTGTATTAGACCCGACTATGCCACGCTTACACTGTGCTACCATTTTTTTTATAACGCGAAATATAATTAAAACAAGTTAAAAATGATTTTTGTGTAAGATTATTATGGTAATGTTATAATACTAGTAAGGGATATTTGTGTATGTCATTAATAACTAAAAAAATATTTGAGTGATTATTATTAGTAAATAGTCATCTATAATGTTTTCAAAACTGCTTTTATTGCTGGAAATATATTAAAAAATATAATAATTAAATATTGAAAAATGATTAATGTTTAAGTTACTATTTTGACAAGGGACCTTCTTAACTAAAACCCATAAAAAGAAAATATCAAGAACCCCTAGCACCTGAGCCCTTAATTTTTGATCTTAAGTAGTTCTTTAATATCGGTTCCAAAAAATCTCAAAAGTTCCAAACCTTAAATATAATATTTAAATTACAATGAAATACTTTACCATAAGTAAATTAGTAAATAATTTCTGTTAAATAAAGATAACTAGCTATTAGTACTTAAAATAATCGCACTAGCGCCATCCAAATTCCTTTCAAAATTTTCATAACATGTATTTTGGAAAAATGCTGGTTTCAAATACTATGTATAAGTTATACGTTAAAGTTTCAACATTTAAAATTTAAATACTAGATCAGATTTTTATTTATTTTAAATTTAATGAAATTGAATTTAAAAGGACAACTTAACAAGAAATGTTTAAAATTGAGATGATGTGAAATTTTATAGATAAAAATAGATAAAAATTTAATTTAAAATTTCAGTTTGTAATAAAGATTTATGGTAGATTATTGATTTGATTATGATAAAAACAGAACTTTAATTGTAGTTATTGTAAATAGAAAATATATTTTGAATAAAAACAGGGTTTGAACAACTATTAATTCATAGAATAACTAATATTTTTATTGGTGCTGAATAAATAATATTGTACTTACAAAAAAAATGTATCTCGTTTATTAAGATGTTTAATAAATCAACTAAATTATTTAGAGTAAATGTTAAAATAAGTTAATATGTTGACTAATAATTCATACACATTACAAACATGACATAATTGATTTTATTACACATCGCAATAGCTACAATAATGATAAAGTACACATTTCATGAATAAAAATTAAATATATGAGATTACGACAAACTATTCATTGCGTTCAATGGTTTAAGATAAGTAGAATAATCTAATAAAAATTAAATTTGTTAAAAACACAGTTATACAGAATGCTCAAAAAATAAGGAAACAAGTCAATTGTTTTAAACAATGAGAAAAATAGAACCCGTTCCCTGACTTACTTAATTCTTTTATATTATTAATAATAATAATAAACAATTAACTATTATGAAAAATGTCTCGAAATAAGTGGATTAAGCTATAGCAAATAATATGAAAACTATATTTTTCAAATGTTGACCATTGCAATATTATTATGCAAAAAAACACGAATTTTCTGCATGTTATCAATACAAGAGTATTAATTTCCTTTTAATTTCAATAAGAAGTCATATTCCACCTCACCAAAGATTTGTTAGCTGCTAGAAGTCATCATATGAATAGTTTAGTTCTGAATTGTTAGAAAAATGTAAGTGTGGAAATTTAAGCTGAGTTATTAAATGTTCCAATGGTCGACCGAGCCTAGTTGAAGTAAACCAGTTATATTAATACAAGAATAATATTTCAAACTTATAAAAATACTGTTAAAATAATATTTGTTGTTCTTTAGTTAAAAATGTAAAATATTTTATGGTTTGTACCAAAATTTACATGGTATTTGTACTAAATTTAATTAAGTATAATGTAATGTTCATTATTTTAAATAGGTTTTTTCGCTTTTAGTAAAACGTGTCTATATACTTATATAAGTGTTGTAGAATTAGCTTTTTCAGGTTATAATATTTATCGCGTTGATGGGAATAGTTGTACTAGTTCCACGTAAAGAGATGAATTTACTGAAGGTGTTATTATTTGTATAAAAAGTAATAATTTGCACTTTATCTAACTGGTTAGTTGTGACAGTGTTAACCAACTGTTTGTTAATGTTAACGTTGGTAATAGTAGTATTGTTATAGGTATTTGTTATATTCGCCTGCCTATGTGAATATTATTAATTAAATAATTGTCGAAATCGGTGTAAACACAGAAATCTTTGATAACGGGCGATTTCTATTTGTCGAATGTACATTACAGTAATTGTGATTCAGGTCTAATTTTTAATGGAATACACTTGGATAAATCTTAAGCATTATTTGAATGTTTTTTATTTCATGGATTTTATCAATATAATAATGTTTTAAATTTTATGGAAACTCAACTGAATTTAGTTTAATTAAATGAGTTAAATACTATGGTGATGTTATCAGAAACTGCACTACTGTCGATTGACAATTATCATCATGCACTTAGTATTGAACTAAAATTAGGTCATTTTATTAAAGTTAAAATAAATTTCGCCCTGAAGTATGCCTATCGGCAGTTCAAGGGCAGCCTACACAATTCTGATCAGTGAAAACATATATAAGTAAAATAAATAAACAAAAAATATATAACCTTAAACGTGCAGATATAGTTATTATCCTATTCATTATCAACATTTCATTGGGACACATTATTTACTTCTGATGATATTAATAATTCATTAGCTAATTTTTGTAGTATATTATGTCCTCTATTTATATTTTTGTTCCTAAAACTGCGTTTTCATGTAAAAATAAATATCTAGCCTGGTTTAATACTACTTTTCATCGATTAATAGAGAAAAAATCATGCTCATAAATTATATAAAATGTCTGAAGACCCTATATTTTATATTAATTTTCTAATTTATAATCGTAATGTAAAAAATTAAGTTAATAAGTTACTTATGTTACCATGAGTACTTAAAGCGTATTTAAGAGTCTGAAGATAAATCCTAAATATTTTTGTAAATTCCTTAAATCCATTAAAATTATAAATTATTTACTAGTTTGTATAATTTATAATGATGTAAGCTAAACGTCAACAAATAGTTTATTTATTTGCTTCCCATATCTCTCGATGGCTTTTTCTGAATCTAATTCAGCTATTTATAGTAATAAATATTTAAAAATACAACAAATTATTTCTAATCTTGAATAACAATAGGAAAACTTTTGATGGGTTTCAAAAACTGAGTTTTAATCCTATTTTAGATTCCTACTATTAGATACTATTAGCGTTACTATTAAACAAGTTTCGTTATGCCTTGACATATTCTATTTATTGTTTATTTAACATGTCCTTAAAATGTGAAATTTTTCCTAATTAAAGAAAATCTAGTTATGTAATGTCATTATGGAAGTCGATAATTAAGTAAATAATCAAAATTTATCCAGAAAATATTTAAGCTTAAACATTCTGTTTTATGTAAATAAGTTATTTGTCCTGAACACATGTGTTGAGAAAATTTATATTTATAGAAACAAATTTGGTATCTTTTAACTCCTATCTAGTAGATAATATTACAGGTGGAAGACAAGTAAATGCAATATTTACAAGATATCAGTAAAGCATTTGACCGAGTAGATAAAATCTTTCGATATAAAATGAAATCCTCAGAATTTTGGGGATTTATTTTTGTGCTCATTTTTTCCCTGTGGGGTATTATCAAATAAATTAATAATCTATATAAATAAATCTTAATTATTATAATTAAATGTTACAATTAGATAAATATATTCGGTATATTAAAATATGTATTAACAGTGTTTTATACAATATGTGTGTAAAACATAGGATTATAAACATATAATTATGGTGGAATTATTTATATTCAGTTAAAAAATCCCTATTTTTTTATTAATAGAAAGTAATTTAATTAGATTTATTATTATTATTAATACTTAGTTGGAAAATGAATTTAATGGCGATGAACGCTATAGTGGTGTTATGATGTGGCCAGGTTCTGAATTTTCATACCTTGGAAAAAAACCCACGTATATTGGTCAATACAACAAGTAATATTCTATTTTCTTAGTTATTAAAGATAATGCGACAATTTTAAGGGAATTATTTTGATCAGATCATTAAAATGGACGGAAAGAGTAGACAAAATGATGACTTGGATCAAGAATGACAAACGACCATCTAATTTAATTTTTGCCTACTTTGAGGAACCTGACTTTCTAGGACATTATTATGGAATCCATACAGGTGAAATGAAAGAGCAAATTGTTAGAGTAGACGCAGCAGTCAAGTAATTAAAAAAATTCTATACAACTAGCTCATTATTTATTTAACTGACTTTGTATTCTACGTATTAAAATATAATTTACTGATCTATATCTTCGACATAGTATCAACTTTTCTCAATACGATGTTTTTAAATTCTAAGATTGACTCTTAATGTCCGTATAAATTTTATATAATAAATTTAGGTTTTGAAATATCACATATTTTATTATTTTATTTGATTTTCTTCTTAGAAACAATATATTAAATATTTGAAATGCTTTTAATATGTATACGAGTTGGTCTAAAATTAATATGTTAATGAATAATATGTTTGCTAAATTAATATTCAAAGCACGCAAAATACTTTGTTAAAGAACCACAACTAAATGTTTTGTTATCATTAACTACTTTCACCGCTTACATGAATGCAATTATTAGATTAGTGTAACCAAACTTTAATTTAAAGTAAAGTTGTGTAAATGTTGGGTAGTTAAGAAAAAAAATTTAGACACCTAAAGATTAATATTATTAAAAATAAAAGTAAACTACAAAAATACTCCTTTAAAATATTAGTATTTTAATTAATTTTTTTTAATTTTGTCGATCACCGCACATAAGGTGATAAATCCATTTTTATTTCAAGTTTTTTTCTCAAGTACTATCTTAGTTTCATATTTTTAAAACACAAAAATAATATATATATATATATATATATATATATATAGGGTGGTCATTATTTTTCAATTTCATAAATTCAGAGTCACGGGCTCAAAATTTCGTTAGGTTCACTGAAAAAATGAAACTGGTAAAATTTGAGTACAATAAGTCAACCCCTTCACGTGCCTCAAAGGGGTTGAAGTTCTTCAAAAATGGGGTAGATTTTCTTTTTTTGAGTGTACACTCTTTATTTTTCAAGTTTTGCCAAAAATACAAAGAACAATTTTTATAGAACTCAATGTGAACAAAAAATTAGGTAATTTATTATTTTTTTGTAAAAATAGTATTTTTTCGTAAAAATAGGAAAAATCAGTTTCACTTAATTTTTTAAAAAAAATGACATAGTTTTCAGTTATACTTTTCCAGTGTATTAAATTTTAATTGTACGCAGAAATTGTACAGAAGTAATATTAATAACCATGATATTTTCTATAAAAAAGATTATTTGAGTTTTTTTCGAATTATGAATCCTTTCCAAATAAAAATTTAAAACAACTACAAAAACGTGTTTTTTTTTTTAATTTTTTTTTGCATATATGTTTTTTTGTTCATAAATTAACAAATTTTCTTAGTTATATTAAATAAAAAATAAACAAGAAACACAATAAAATAATAATTGTAATAGATGAGTGTTTAATATTTTGGATAAAATCGCGTATTCCTACACAGTTTACTTCAGACTGTGTTATTAAATTAAAAAAATTGTATGAGAAATGGAGAAAGTTGGACAAAAATAAATCTAGAAAAACAGAAACACAAGAACAACATTATAATATTTTTTCTGAAGAATTAGACAACCTCTTTGACCTTTCTCATATCGAAGCTCTGAATATGATGAGTATTGAAGAAGACAAACAGTTTTTATTGTCACAACTTAAAAATGGCCGCCCAGGGTGTATGCTTGGTATTGATATGAAGTTAACAGGTATTGAAAAACGTAAAATTACTCGACAAGAAGAAGAAGATGATTGAAAGAAAAAAGAGAAATTAGAAATCGCAAATTGTACAGGTAATTATTAAATATTACACAATAATTTCAGTAAATTATAAGTAAGCAGTTTTTATATACCGAAGTATTTTATTATTTAGCCGAAACTCAATATTATAGCAGCTCTAGCTCGGAAGACGAAGATATTGATATGGAGGAAAACGTTGAAGAAATGAGTCAATTACCTGGGCTTTCAAAAGAAGTAAATGCACAACAAGATAAGTGTTGTTTTGTAGTTGAATGTTATATTAAAATGTGGTTTTCAGCTGCGAATATTATAACAGCTACTGTAATGATTTAATGTTATTAAAAAAGTTATTAAATTACAGTAATAATAAACTAGGAGAAGTAGCTATAAAAAAATTTATAAACCATTTATGATATTTAAATAATGAGTGTGATGTGTTTTCTTTAATTGACGATAGACTTGATATTAATATTAAACAGCGAATGGCAAAAAAAATATTAAAAGGTTATGAACAGAGCACGAATGAAGAATTCAAGAAAATAAAGATTCAAGCAAAAAATTAATTTTAAAATATGAAGATTTATCAGATTTTCTAGAAAAAGATCTTCTTTTTTCGTTGCTCAGCAACAATTCATGGAAATTATTCGAGTGATTTAAATTAAAATTCGAGTTTTTATATGAAGATCTTACCACATGGGAAATAAATAATGAATAGAATAACGCCAAAGATATTTATCCTCGACAAAAATAGTAAACGACAGAATTCAACGACAAATTTGGGATGAAAATCAAAAGCAATTTATATTACAAGTATGAAATTATATAATAGTACTGCAAAATTTTAAATTTTAAATTATTATATTTGTATTATAACCTTTACTTTGGACTATTTTAAGTGGTTCAACAATATCGCCAGCTGTATCCCAGGTGTAGCCAAGAAATTTTGAATAAAAAATATTCAAATTAGAAAAACTATTATTGTGATAAACAATTATTATTTTATTGTGTTTCTTGTTTCTTGTTTATTTTTTATTTAATATAACTAAGAAAATTTGTTAATTTATGAACAAAAAAACATATATGCAAAAAAGTTTTTTAAAAAAAACACGTTTTCGTAGTTGTTTTAAATTGTTCTTTGTATTTTTGGCAAAACTTGAAAAATAAAGAGTGTACACTCAAAAAAAGAAAATCTACCCCATTTTTGAAGAACTTCACCCCCTTTGAGGCACGTGAAGGGGTTGACTTATTGTACTCAAATTTTACCAGTTTCATTTTTTCAGTGAACCTAACGAAATTTTGAGCCCGTGACTCTGAATTTCTTAAAAAAAAATTTTTCTTCTATAACCAAGGACCACCCTAATATATTTATATATATATATAATGCATATCAATATGAAAATTTAAACGCTTAAATGTTTCATAAGTTTATTGAATAGCTTAATTAATTAATATATAATACATAAAAAGACTAAATGTAATTATTGTTGAATAGTATACTAGTTATTCTTCTCAATAATTGAAATTAGAGTATTGTGGGTGCGAGTCCTCCATTAGCTAGTTTAGAATTTTAATCGCATAGATGAGAAAAATCCTTAAATTATATTTTGAGTGTAACAATAGTTAAATATTAAAGAAAAATAATTTGCTTCAATGGTTTAAAAAATGTCAGTGTCCTTTTTTATTATTTCATTTGATATCTAAATTAATTGCGTCTCTAAATTAATGATTTTAATCTTCAAGATTCGTAATAGTCCGCTGTGTTTATAAAATAATAAACATTAAAATATATCATTTTTATTAAGTATAAATAAATATATTTTTAACCTGCGTCATATTAATTAGTAAAATGATGGTTTACAACTATTATGAATCGTGTTCATTAAAATTGGCCACTTACAATATTTTTAAGGTACTTAACCGATTCTATAAAAAAAGAAGGTCTTGAATCAATATTGAACTTAATTATTTTAAGTGATCATGGTATGGAATCAGTTAAATACAAGGACTTGATTTACTTAGAAAATTATTTAGACACTACAAAATTTACAAATATTTCATCGGGAACAAATGTGTTTATTCATCCGAATCCTAGTAATTTTAATAGAATAGGTATTATTTGTTTAAATTATAATTATTTTTCTAAATATACATTAACTTTTTAGATACATATGATGAAGTTTATAAAAATCTTACTGCACTAGCCAAAAAATTGGGAAATTTTAATGTGTATACAAGAAAAAACATGTTAGAAAGATGGCACGTATCAAAAAACGAACGATGGAATGAGCTTATTTATTTATTAGCAGCGCCTGGTTATGCGTTCAAAGACAAATGGATTTTAGAATATTTTGATGGAAGAAGTAAGTAAAATTTCATTTAAATTAAAATTTTGTTTACTTTTCCATAGCTTGTTAAAGTCAATAATAGTTAAAAATGCTTAAATTTATATACAATTATATATTTATATATATATATATATTATACATAAGCTGTACAAATAGTATTTACTCTTGTAACAGTCATCATTCGATAAAATCATATTTCCAAAAAGAATAAATTCATTTGTAATATGTACTGTGGGCAGTTTGCCTATAAAAATAAAAATAAGCTTAATTCTAAAAATAAGTTATATATAGAAAAGTTTTGTTAAAAAAGGAATCATGAAGTATTGAATTTATTATTATTTACATTTTTTTTCAATTTTTAGATTTGTCAACTGCTGAAATTGGCGTACATGGATACGATAATCTAGAACCTTCGATGTTTGCTACTTTTATGGCTCGAGGACCAGCGTTTAAAAGCAATTATTCGATAGAACCATTTGAGAACATTAATATATTTCCTCTTGTTAGCTATATATTGAATATTAAACAGACCGGTGATCATGTCCGAACCAACGGATCGTTAAATAATGTTGAAAACTTATTAGCAAAGAACCACGGTACTTCAATGTTATTTTACAATAATATTTTACTGGTTGCCGTTACAGCCTTAGTACATATTGTCCGTGTTAAACATTGTTAAATGTCTATGTATGAAATGTCTTGTAATGGACCACATTACGTAAATGCATAATGTGAATTTTGTGTTTTGAGTTAACACTTACACCACGTCACTGATACATAGACACTAAAAATTGTAGTAAATCATTCGTTTGCATTTCGATTTCATTAGATTCACTGAGTGACTATTGCCGTATAAATTTAATCAGTGGTTTTTAAAAACATTCATAAAAAATGATAAAAAAATAAAGTTTATAAAGTTTTTTTAAATATTTTTATTCTCGATTAACAAAAACAATTTATAGTAATATTTACTAATTAAGCAAATAGTTTGGTGTAATAAATTTAATCAGTATTCTCAATAAGTTAGCTGATTACAATATTTTAGTTTTTAGATAAATTATAAACATCTAGTGAGCCAATATACTCGTCACAGTCTACTGTATAAGAAATAAATGAATTCTATATATTAATCAACGTATTATATAATAAATTAATTTTTAATTTAATAACATGTGAGAAAATTTCCTTACTTTATTGTATATCTGTACACGGGTTTTTATTAGTTTATTAGACAATTTTCGCTCATAACCATGGAATATATTTATTTGTTTTCTTTCATTTGAATTATAATCCATAATTATAATTATATAATTATAATGAATTATAAATTAATTTGAATTAAAATTTACACACACATGATATTTAAACTCAAAATAATTCAATTCACTATTAAAGAAAAAATGTTTTTGCTTAAACCGTATTTAATACAATTTATAAATGTATTAAAGTATTATATAACAAGATTTTTTAATAGCATTCTTAAAGTTTATTTAAACTTTAATTTAAAAAAAATAATGTTTATATAATTGTATAATGATAATTAATTACAATTTATTTAAATTACACTGTCAAAGATTGATTTTTATGATAGGATAATAAAAGAAAACTTTATAATTATTATCGTTTCTAAATGTAGTATAACTATTCGTACAAAATTAAAATTGTCTAATATCGAACTGTGTTATTGTAAGCAAATAATTTGTATAGTACTTGATAAAAATTGTACGATAAAAAGTATACAATTTTATCTAGTTTTATTTTTCATTTTTTCATTAAAGTTAACTAATTCTATTCTTCATTTTTATATTCTATTCATATTTATCTAAAAAACTTAATTCATGTAATTTAAATAATTAAGGTACTTTCTTTGTATTTAAATCAAAATATATTATTTTTATATGTATTGTTTCATAAATAGAATTGTTTAATATCTATATATAGAAAGATTCTTTAATCTTGAAATATACATTTTATACTTTATTTACCTAATAACTTTGAAGAATGTATCAGTATATTGGAATTAAATTGTTTAAATATATGTGTTACTCTGATGAATAACTTAACAAACATAACAAAAAAATGTCATTAATTTTAATGTTTTTTTGGAAATTGCGTCTTCAATTTTTAAATAGCAATTAGTAATTTATTAAACTTTACTAAAGTGCATATTGTGTCTGTACACACTTTTTACTACTAAAAATTATATTTGACAATACAGAATCATTAATTCTAAATGGCTTTTTTTAAATTAAATATGCATAAGAGTATTTCTAACAAATTAAAACTCATAAATTAAAGTATAAGTAAATTTTAAGGAGTCTCTGTTTAACTGTATCGTAATGTAATGTTTCAGAAAAATTGTAATGATTCTGCATAATCAGACTTGAAGATAAAATATTAGGAAATAATTCTTACTAGTTTGTATTGCGTGATCGCATGATATTTAACAATACAAGTCATTTTAAAACATGTAAAATAGATTTATCACACCAATAATTGAGCATTTATCTTTTAAATAAACATTTTTTCCAACAAACAAATATAGATTTATTATATAACTATGCTGCAGTTGTATCTTGATAATAAGTCAATTACGATTACTACTTAGAAGCTAACACTGACAGGATTATAATTTACATGTGTAGAGGTTATTCAATAGTTAATGAATACCGTAAATTGGAATTATTTTGATGATGCGGGCTACTTTGAAAATTGAACATTTTTATCTTAACATTGGTATGATTTATTGGTAATATATATGAATGGCCGTTTTTAATATTTTGTTGTTTGGTGCAACTGGTCGAGTGCACAAAATTATTCGACGATAACATTTCACTATCATTTTTCCACTTATTTCTATTGTTAATAATGTTATTGTCACGTTCGGATAATTTTTTCAACAAAAATTAAGTCATGCACATGGTAAGTACTAAATTATATACGAATATTTTAGTCATGTTAGGAAATTGAAAGAGTGACTACTAATTAAATTAATAGTAATTTTCTTTTCCGTTGTAAATGTTACTCAGTGCTTGTACTATTTTGGCATAGACCTACTTTGATTTTTATCATGGGGTTACTTAGATAACTGTTTTACACACTTTTTGATGTATAGGAATATTGTTTTTCTTTTAGTCACTCGTCAATACATAAAAAAATTGGCAGTAGAACTTATTTAACTCTAATGGTAGACTACTAAATGAAGCATTACTTAAAATTTCAAATGGTGATCTATCATTATTCAATGCCTGTAAAATTTATAAAATTTGTATGGAACTTTACATGGGTAAACATTCTGTTAAAACTGGACATCAACAGTTTATCCTGAAATGAAAATAATAAATTTTTTCACAGCAGCCATGGCATTGTTTGTAAAAATTTAAATTAGTTTATAATGATGTAATTGATATTAATACAAATGAAATAAAACCATTGCTTAAGAACATCAAGATTGAAGGGGCTGGAAAATGTATTAAATATAAATTTTCTCATACAGTGAAAATTACAGAAATGTCACCAATTAAAAGTTGTATACAATAAAAGATTGTTAAGTATAAGATCCGCTAGAGACTAAAAGACTAAATTTTTAATAATCTTTTAAGATAAAATAAAAAATTATTAAATTTTGTAACAATATTGCAATGTTAAAATAATAATATTAAAAAAATATACTAGTCTTCTTGAAAATAAAATTGAATATAAGTTAAAATAAAGTGAATGATTAAGTTAGTAATTTGATTTTATATTTTTTATATGCTATAATAATTAATATTTCTAAACTATGTTTTATTAATTAAAAATTTTCAGTTAAAATTTTTACAAATTATATCTAGTTGAATTAAATAAAATTATACCTTTAATCATTACTTTTATGTAATTGGAAAATGGTACTAAAGCAACCCCATTAACTTAAAACTTAAAAAGATAATTATTAAAAATATTTTTTTTTACAAATATGATAATTTTACTGATATTATATATATAATGAAAAAAAAACCCAGCACAGGGGGGTCGCGGCACAGTGGTAACGTGACATATTTGGATCAAGTATAATGATATCTGACAGTGATTAAAATCACTATCATAAAAAACGCTTCGATGCAAATCTTTAGATAGTGTTTAATTTTAAAAAATAGGTGGATTATTCCAAAAGCAACATGATCTGCTAAATCGTTATTAATATCCTGATTCAGATAAAGTATATCGAATGAAAGAAGGATTATTAAAAAATATTATTTCTCATAAAAAAATTATGTTGATCCATACACTTTTCAATATGTTATAGCATTATAAAGTTAAAAATAAAAAAATAAAATCGAGAATTTTCACACAATAATAGCATTTGGTAGCCAATTTCACCCTGAAGACAAAATAAAGTACGAAATTTTTTTCTACCATAATAAAGTATATTACATTAGCTTTAATTTAAGATATATAAAAGTGTCAGACCCTCCGGAACACTTTCAAAAGTTAAGTTGAAAAAGTTCTACTTTTTATATGCATTTTTATGTTTTGAATCCTCCCTGTATTAAGGGAAATGGTCCGATTTAAAAAAAAAGTATGTCGAATGAAAGATCTATATAAATACTACTTCTCATAAAAAAATTGTAATGATCCATACATTTTTCAAAAAGTTATAGTATAATAAAGTTAAAAATGTAAAATACAAAATCGAAAATTTTCACACAAAAATAGCATTCGGTAGCCATTTTCACCCGGAAGATAAAATAAAGTTCGATATTTTTTTTTTACGATAAAGTATATTACATTAGCTTTAATTTAAGATATATATATAAAAGTGTCAGACCTTCCGGAACACTTTCAAAAGTTAAGTTGAAAAAGTTAATTTTTTGTGAAAAAGTTGTCATTTTAAATCCCCCCCTGTGGGCAGGTAAAAAGTCAGATTTATAAAAAAAATATACCAAATGATAGGTAATGACATCATGCATCTATAAAAAAAAGAATTATATTGATATGTTTATTTTTAAAATAGTTACGGCAGTTTTTAGTAAAAAAAATTGAAAAAATTTCGAAAATTAGCCATTTTTAAATTTGTAATTTATTCGGAGGTTTCCCTCATTTACGGGGAACGAGGGAATTTTTTTCAATTTTTGAGGGTAATGTCTTCGACTAGATACGATTTGTGATCTTTTGACGTATCATTGAATATATACATTTAACATAAGATATTTACATGTTAAATTAAAACAAACAGTAACATAGTGGAGTCGTGGCATAGTTGGGACAAGTATACATGATATTTCACAGTGATTAAAATTACTATCATAAGAAATGTTTCGATTGAAATCTGTAGATAGTGTTTAATTTTAAAAAATTGATGGATTATTTAAGAAACATAATAAACTCCTATTTTTTAAGTAAAATTAAAACTATATTAAAAATGTTATTCATTTAAAAACTAAAAAATATTAAACTCAAAAGCCACAAAAAATTACTGAAAAGTCGCGGATACATATTTCTGAAACAATGTTACCATTATCAACGCTAAAAACATACTGACATATCCTATTTTTTGTTCTACGTCACATGGAAAATAGGTCGTCGGTACAAATTTTTTTTTTTTGAACTTCTAGTACATAAAATATACTTTATTTTAAGATATTTTTAAAATACGCAGTATTCCCGGAACATTTTCAAAATTTGAATTGGAAAAGTTCTACTTTTTATACAAATTTTCAAGTTTTCAAAAATTCAAAAATGTTTCCTTAACTTTAAAGGTGCAAAATAATCAAAATAAGTATAAATTTATATTTTATGTAAGTTAGATTCATGAAAATTTTATATTTTTTGATGGACTCATTATTATTGCAAATTCATATAAGTTATTTTAAAATAAACAAACGAAAATAAAATTTGAACACAAAAATAGCATGTTTTTTAACTACGGCTGCCATTTGCATAAAGAAAATAGGTCGTCGGGACAATTTTTTTTTTTAATTTATAGTACATAATGTAAGCTTTTACATATGTTTAAAGGACGCGGTATTTCCGGAATATTTTCAC